AGAAAATGCATCAAAATCACGTATTTTCACAATTCCGGAACCGGATCTCAGTCATGCATGGATGGATTTTGTTCAGATTTAGTACAATGTGTTGTACTTGTGCAGGTGCATTTCGCTCATGATCTGCTTTGAATGTATATGTCACTCAAATATAAACGGAACGGGGACATGTCATTCACAATGACTTGTTATGTTATGGTTAACTTTTCGTTTTTTTCTTTAGGGGAGAATGTATCAGTATGAATCCGGAAACACCTAAGCCGAAGTTTGTCAAGGAAGCTTTAGAGAAGTGCATGAGGTAAATACTGTTAGTCATTTAAATAGTGCATTGTGGGAGGAATGATAGTGCATTGTAGGAGGAATGTATGGTCATTAAGGATTGGTTTATTTCGGGGTGGATAAAATAAAATTACAGGACATTAGATCGAGCATCAGCATGCAGAATGAGCAAGAATATGAACATGGTACAGCAACTAATTTGGAATGGAATTTTCCCAAAATATCAAATTTATGAACAAGGCTGACATTCAGATACCTAGTTAATTTTTTCCCACCCAGAAAATGAACATATGATAAAATTTATCATTAAAATAGTGTAGATCAGATAATTAAATTTTCACAGAAAGCATACTTAAAATGATCACACTTCATCTGTGTGAAATTGAGGAGCTTTTATTGAAGATTTCCACACCAGCTTCTCGCATGAAAATAGATGAAATAGTTATAAAAAAAAAAAAAAAATCCATACCTGTTGGTTTCTAAAATCATGGTCAATTGTTTTTTGTTTTCTTAGATTGTCGTATCATCAAAGAATTGTTGAATCTGTACCTGAGAACTATGCCCAATTAATACCAGAGAAACCTTCTCCTATTTATAAATACAGTGCTATTGGAAGTGGTAAGTTCACCTGTATCTCCACTCACAATGTAATCAATGCTATGGGTCTCTATATCAAATTTCAAGTGCATTTTAAGGTAGAAGCCTAGTCATAATTTTTGACAAAATTGACCATAAATCGTATGACAATGTTCATTAGTTTATTATGTACATTCATGAAGCTAATGTCCCATGGTACAATGAAATAGCATTATTTTGTGTGTTACAGTTGTGCTTTTTGAGAAACGTGTCCTAATAATTTCCTGAAAATTGCTATTTTTAGAACAATTCCATATAACACAATGTTAAAGAAAAATTGCATTTTTTGACACTTTTTAAAACCCAGATTTTTTAAATAATTCAGAACAACAAAAAGTACTCCATCATAAACAATATATGATTTTTTCAGCCTATGTCACCAGGCTAGATTTTGAGATATTGCATAATATCTCTGCCATAGAAATCTATGGTAAAAGTGTTATAATAGTGTTAAAATGGCGACTTTCCACTAAAATACTACAATCAATTTCCCGAAAAAAAAGGCTGGTGACCCCCAACTTTTTTAGGTCAATATCTTTATATTGCCTTTAAGTACAATTTATTGCGAAATGAATAAATTCTGGGTTTTTTTACTTTATGAGTAGGCTTCTACCTTAAGTTAACATCCTTGGCTTGAGCCCTAATATTGGTACCATTTTTAAAACAAACTGCACATTTGTGTATATGCCTTTATTTATATCTGGGACATGCCTGGATTAATCATGTTCAAACATCATGTTACGTATTTGTTCGAAAATTTTGTCACCCGATTTGAATTGCCAGCAAATTATTTGTTTTTATTACAAATACAAAATGTGATTACATTTCAAACGAGTTTTGATATTCACTTCTAATAGGTTCATTACCGGGAACTATTCCAGCCAATCAGCTGATTGCATCAATTAAAAATAAGGCTACTCCAGACGAGGTTCTCGACATTCTCAAAGATATACCTAACCCTAAACAGGATGAGGAACAAATGGAAGGTGGGGCACATTTATTTTTTTATTTGACAGTTCTGCACAAATCTGTTGTGGGTGCACAGATTTGGAAGTACTATGTCAACCTTGTCGTATCACTGCTTTCTCCGATTCTTGTCAAGGTAAATTCATGTCCCGTATTTCCAGCTAGAAGAAGAGAAATTCTCGGTCGGAGCTATGCCACAGAACGTTCTATGTTGCTCTGTCTGAGTTGTCAAAGAGCCAATGAAAGTAAAAAACTCAATCTGGACAACCCAATTTATACATGTTGCACATGTAGACCCCCTAGTCTTGTTACACTGTTAGGGAGAGTCTCAACAACTCACCAAAAGTACAGTTTTCTGAGAATTTGTTACTTGTTTTTACCAGTGATTGTTGTAAGGCGATGAAAATGCTTAGATGTTCACTGCAGAGAATAGATCACTACGAGTTTGGTACACTTAAATTCACACCAAAACAAATCTTTTTGGCTTTCACATGCCTCTTTTGGAGATCAAACAGCGATGTTTCTAATTTGCATATGAATCATGGCTAATTAACATATAATGTCATCTTGATGCATCATGGTAACTTTTGTTGTCATCTAAAAAAAAACATATTTCTTAATTTTTTTTCAACATTTTTTTACAATAATTGTTGCCAGTTGAAAATTCTGCCTATTTTGTCCAAAATTAATAAATTATATAAAAATTCAAAATATTCTACCAAAATATTGGTGGAATATGTGTACATGAATAAACATGCCTGGTTCCATGTGTTCATGGATAAACATGCCTGATTACAAGTGTTCATGGATAAACATGCCTGATTTCATGTGTTCATGGATAAACATGCCTGATTTCATGTGTTTATGGATAAACATGCCTAATTTCATGTGTTCATGGATAAACATGCCTGGGTCCATGTGTTTATTAATAAACATGCCTAATTTCATGTGTTCATGGATAAACATGCCTGGTTCCATGTGTTCATGGAATAAACATGCCTGATTTCAAGTGTTCATGGAATAAACATGTCTGATTTCATGTGTTCATGGATAAACATGCCTGATTTCATGTGTTCATGGATAAACATGCCTGATTTCATGTGTTCATGGATAAACATGCCTGATTTCATGTGTTCATGGATAAACATGCCCGATTATATGTGTTTATGAATAAACATGTCCGATTTCATGTGTTTATGGATAAACATGCCTGATTTCATGTGATGTTGGTATTCTATGCCCATCAATTGAATTTTAATCTGTAGTTTGAGGCAGCTTATCTCCTCTGTAAAGTGTCGTACATATCCCGCTGGTTCCCACTTATACACGATTCTTATGCAAGTCCGTCCATCCCCCAAAAACAACTTGTGCAGATTTTCAAACTTTATACAAGAATAATACATGATGTATGAATAATGATATATGCACAAGACTTTATTTTTGATTCAAACAAATAGTCGTGATAATAATTGTTCGTGTATTTATGCTTTCAAGTGAAACTACATAATTGAAACACGGGGATTTTAAATATATTCAGTAAATTATCTTGATCTAAGTTAATAACCTCTTCACCACCAGACCTTCTCGCCCAAATTTATTTGCACTTTGTTCTAATATTCTTCAATATTTCTGGAAATAGTAAAATCTGTATTAGAAGCCGCATCTCTAATAGAAGTCGCACCCATTCTTTTTGAATAATTGAGAATCTAAAATTCACCGTTTCTCATACGTTGTAGATGCTCTTATAGAAGCCGCATCCCCTCTGTTGCATTGTACCATTTTAATAGAAGCCGTGGCTTCTAATACAGTTTTTATAGTAACTTTAATTTTATAGCAAAGGTGAAATTTGAATAAATTTTTAGTTTTTACTAACAAAATTTGGCTGTTTTTGTCTCGATCTTCTGAAGAAAAGTGCAGACTAGAAGAAAAGGGGGAACTGGAGGTGAAAAATTCGGGGAACTTGTTAAAATAAAAACCACTGAGGTTTTGTCATTAAGATTGTGCTGGATGTTAGAAGAACAACTGATTACCTACTTTATATCAAAATATTATTGAGTACCTGTACACTTTGTCTAAAGTCCAGACATATAAATCTGCAGGTAGTCAACCATATTTGAAAAAAAGTAGATAATCAGTTCTAATCTTACAACATCCAGGGCAATTTCAAAATATTGCTGGTTTTTAAACTTCAAAAGATTTACTAATGACTTGCTTTCATCCAGCTTTTCCTGAAGAAGATTAAGCGCAATCTTTTGTTGCCATAGTAATCTAGGCAATGACAATGGAACCCTGTTCTATTCATCCATAATTGTATAGTTTCTTTTGTTATCTATTTCACTGCCATCACTAATTAACCTCTAAATAAAAAAACAGTACATTAGCCAAAAAAAACAGTACATTTTATAAACTTGAATAAATAAGTTTGAAACATTTAATAAATGACACAGTTGACACAATGAAAATATACTCAGTTCAAAATGTTTACCCAGAAATACAGGTTTCTGTTACCCTGGGTACCAGGTTTCTTTTTTAGCTCCGCTGTCGACTTTGTTCATTTTCTAATGATGTCTTCAGTTCTTTAATTGAAATGTGCATTGCTAACAGCGGAGCTATCTCAGCCGATAGGCTGCTTGTTTGAGATATTGTATTCATGTCTCAATAATCTTTTTTTTTTCTGTTAGAACAAAAATAAAACTATAAGCACATTTTTCGAGCACACAGTTATATTTATGTTTACATATTTATGATTACATTGTTAAAAAACACAATAATACAATCAGATTCATTTCAAGAAAAATATTACAATTCAGAAACAACGTTGTTGAATTTATGGAAAAATAATTGTTATCATATCAAAAAACTGAAAATTGAATTAAGCTTAAAAAAAAGTTTTATTTCTGGTCCTAAGGTGCGTCACCTTTCACAAGACAAATTTGAATAATTATTCATATAATTTTTTTTAAATTTTATCAACCCCTGTAGATCAAAATTAACTAAAAATTTTTAGAAAATTAATAAAAATGTTACACAAGAATGTTACCAGATAAAATAATAGCATTCTAAGAAAAAACAAAATTTCATGAATCAGGAAAATATAGCCAATTTTTTGTAGCAGTGAACAAAATACTAAATAGTGAGTTTTGTGTAATTTTTTGTCTCACAATACTCTTTAGTCAACAAATAAAAATAACTGTTTAACCTGTTGTTAGAGCCGATTGGACTGCTTGTACTAGGCATGACCACCAATATCTGTCAGCTCTAGGGGTGGTTCAGTACTTGTCTGCTTGACTTTTACTGCTCTGGAAAGTCGTTTATTTTTCATGATATAAATCCACGGGATGATACTGCATCCAAAATAAGCAAGTGGGCGTGTCAACCATTCCATATTTAATATCAGCCCTTCATCTAGGAATTAAAAAAAAAGAAGAAATTAGCTATAAACTGAACTGGTTAAATATGACGATTTATTTTAATTTAGCAAGTCATAGACAAATTACTGCTCCAAATATTTCATATATACAATCATATTTTGATTTCCCTTTCTCTCATAGTTTCATGCATGTATACTGATTATTCTCCGCTTAAATTTATATTTTTGATTTCATCTCTGCATTACTGTGGTAATTCTCATGCAACCAATGTGTAAGTGTAGGGTTGTTTATTTCTTGTTTTAAATATGGAGCAACTTGTAGGATTCAGATTCAATGAGGGACAAAATCCAACAATTCATTTTAGTATTAAATCCATACTTTATTCGTTGGCAAAATGCACCCAATCCACTCAGCTCCTACCCCGGTACAAGTGATGCTACTTATTGGCTGTTTTAGGTTCCATGCTTAACCGATCGTTAACACAGCATGAAATCTGCATAAATGAGCTTACCTTTTACTCCTAGCGGGTAATACATCACTGGAAATGTTGTGATTACGTAGACGACAGATGTAATGATCAGGATATCAGTTGTTGCCAGGTTGACTTTTGTCACGTTTGGTACTGCGACGGAGGGCTGATTGTCGCTAGCGTCACTTGGGATTATCTTTCTGTGGTGATTGTGAAAGAGTATTGCAAAAAAACAACTGATGACTGTAATCGGGGAAACTATTATTGTAAAGAGCCTTACAACTTGGCAGAACAGTTTGTCAGGATCTGGAAAGTCTAAGCAGTCAATAGACAGGTGTGCGTTAGGAACGTCGATGATTGCAGCCAGCCCCATGGAACCAATCATGACGTAGCTTAACGAAACTGCTATCCATGTGATGTTTATTAATTTGCTGTTGTGTACATTACGGCACACAATCAAAGCACGGCTGATACTTAGACTACTTAAGAGTAAAAATGGTACATAGATACCAATCGGGGCAAAGAAACTGTGAAACTTGCATGCTGTCTGTGAGATCATCAGCTGACCATTAGACCAGGTTGCAAGACGAACGAGATAAATTGGTGCTGCTCCAACACATGATACTAAATGTGCCACAGCAACAGCCGCTATCTGAGCATTTGTTGGTGTTTTGAAGTTTGATTCCCTAATCAAAACCTTAAGAATCATCACATTTCCTGGCACTCCCAAGATGGTGGATCCACAGAGAAGTACAATGCCGATGACGAAAATTGGCGTTGGTACGTTGACAAGGTGCTGGGTGACATCAGTGCTGTGTATAGTTGTAGCTGTGTCTGTAGCCGAGTCATCGTTGCTCAAGACAGTGAAATTCCAAATATTTATCCAGTTGGTGAAGAGATCAAAGTCAGTAGTTGTGTTGAAAACATCATCAGTTACAGGTGTCGTCTCTGTGAAACCACTTGTATCGGTGGCCATGCTGTACTTTCCGTGATGACCACTAAGGTACCTATAGTCGCACTGTGCCTGTATAAAAGAAAACTTTGTACAGCATCTGTGTCTAGTCAAACATAATGAGATATAAAATCAGAGCAGTTTACTGATTGATAGACAGTCAGATAATAACAGGAATATGATGGTAATGAGCTTTTTAGCTTATAGTTGCCATGACATTTCTTTGTAACCATGGAAATGGTTACATAACTGATGCAGAATAATCTTTGGATTTTTATTGTTCTGCAGGCAGTTATCATCTTCTTTGTTATTAAAATGAGTGTCAATGTTCTTTCATCGTCTGTAGAATACATACATTTTCTTTGTTTGTCTGTGGAATACATGTTTTTTGTAACCATATTTGCTATATTAGTTGCATGTGCTCCTAATTAAAGAAGCGTTTCTGTGGTCAAAATAATTTTTAGCTCTACTGTTATCAAAGACGAAGCTGTTCCTATAGATGATTCATCGCCATACCACATCAAATTTTTTTCATCAAATGACTTCTTCTTGAAAACATTTAACTATATTGCTTTTGTATTTATGTTCATTGGGTATGCCTTTATGTGATTTGATCCTTTTTGTGATGATATCTTCAATTCTTTATTTTTTAATGAATATTTTTGTTATTCTCAACTTCATGAAAATGTCTACCGTACTCCCAATTGTTTGATACATGGTGTATATGTACCTTTCGTGCAGCAGTATTAGATTTTAACATTTTAAGGCAATATCTTGAAATCTCTAAATTTTGCGAATATTTTGGTAAAATGCTATTTGACTTGCAAGGTTTTTTTTAGGAGAAAACTGCAAGAGGGAGCACTGCAATTTAGCGGCGCAACCAAGTGGGGGAGATAGGATTCTCCCTACCAGGGTGTCGAGTTTTTGATAAGTTAAAATGGAGCATTCTATGCCTTCCTTGGGGCCAAAATTACTATCAGAGAGGTCACAGTTGAAGACTGTGGCCACATGTGATCCCTGGTCAATCAGCATTTTATTGTTGCCAGAGGATCTGCTCCCCAGATCTGCTGAGCTCCTGTTCACTTGTTTAAAAATATCCCTGAGGTGTATTAGATTACTGTAAAATACTTTATTTTCGCTTAGAATTAATTTTCGCTTATTTTCACTAAAAGAAAGATTCAGTGAAAATAAAATCCAGCGAATAAATCTGTTTACCTATTTTTTATATTCAAGTCATAAAAAATCAGTAAAAATAAAACACCCAAAATGTTGTTTCAGCGAAAATTAATTCTAGCCAATATATAAATTATTTCACAGTACATCATTTCATGACATATCGGTAATTGCAACACTACTAATTAACAGACATATCCTATAGTTAATAGTAGATGAATCTAACACTTAGGTACCGGGTAATGTATTTTTTGATTGCCTAACATTGTGTAACGTTCTTTCAGGTTTCTGGATCTAACTTTTAACCAAGTGTCTTCATCTCCAGTATCTCTTTAATTGACACATTGTTCATTTTGTTTTGTTTTCAGACGAGTCAAGTTTCAACCCTCTAAAAATAGACGTATTTGTGTTAACTGTTCTACATATGGGTAGTAAATCATTCAGTCATTCCTTTAGTGCCCTAGCCAAGTAAGTCTAACATGTGTGTATATTTGGAATTATTTCGGCCATCTTGTTTTCTTCGCCATTCATGTGATTTAAACTCTTGATGTGCCGCTGCTTCTATTACCAGTAACTCTTTGACTGCCCGATATTTTTCCTTCCCAAAATTCATTGCAAATATTTTCACTTTTTGTTAAATTGTCACTAAATTTCATCATCATTTTGGACCAAACAGACAGTTTCAAATATTGCTTTCAATTTTTGATCAAACGGTTTGCCAATTTTTATCAACATTTCATGTTGGGAGGAGCAGACTACATAATCATTTTGGAGATTAGGCCAAAAGTTGACAATGGCACTCAAAGGGTGCAATGCAGCAGTAGGCATGCACCTTCTATTAGAGCATCTACACATATGGTGAATTTTGGGTTCTCAATTTTTCAAAAAGAATTGGTGTGGCTTCTATTAGGGATGCAGCTTTGAATACAGATTTGTTGGTACTTAGTTATTCACAACCACTTAAATTAGAGAAATGCGGTGAAATATTTTACCAACAGTGTACCGTCTTTTTGATTTCTACATATACATCATGTACTGAAATAGTAATGTCTATGGACATGCCATTATGATAGACATGGCCCATGCTTATCTATTTATGATTCTTATTTTAATCTTATGTCTGATGTAGATTTCATCCAGTGTTCAAAGCGTTAGCTGATGGTGAGGAGAGTCAGATGTATATGTTGGGTAAAGTTTATGAAATCTGGCAAAATCATCACCAGGTAAACCCAGTTTGACATTGTGTCCTACCCTTTGACATTGTCCTACCCTTGACATTGTGCCCTACCCTTGACATTGCGTCCGACCCTTGAGGTTGCGTCCGACCCTTGACGTTGCATCCGACCCTTGACGTTGCGTCCTACCCTTTACGTTGCGTCCGACCTTTGACTTTGTGTCCGACCTTTGACTTTGTGTCCGACCTTTGACTTTGTGTCCGACCTTTGACGTTGTGTCCGACCCTTGACGTTGTGTCCGACCTTTGACGTTGTGTCCGACCCTTGACGTTGTGTCCGACCCTTGACGTTGTGTCCGACCCTTGACGTTGTGTCCGACCCTTGAAGTTGTGTCCGACCCTTGACGTTGTGTCCGACCCTTGACGTTGTGTCCTACCCTTGACATTGTGTCCGACCTTTGTATCCGACATTGTAGAATTGTGCAGACAACTGAGTAGTTAATCATTTGCCTCAACGGACTATAGTAAATATATAGGCAACATACATTTCAGACAAGTTTAAAAGGATCAAATACGCCTTATTTTGACTATAGACACTGTCATTTATGCATTAAGCTCATGCACTATTTACTACCAGTAACACCTGAGCAGAGCGAAATGACCACCTTGTTACAATTAGTGGTTACAGTGAGTGTAAAGTGATATTATTATGCTAGGGTCTCTGATAAGCACTGTGTTCCATGTTTATAATAGTGCAACACTGTTCCTGCTAAAAACTAGCATTCAAAGTAAACAGTTATTGACGCCAACATTACCTGCAGCTCGTATAGTAGTTCCATGCAGAATCAGTGCAAACTAAAGAGCAGTCGTAGAAATGACATGACATCTCGTAGTGAATACATAAATTATGGTCAAAATCATGGTAAAATAGACCTATATATCATTACCACATCACACATTATATCAACACAGCAAAAATACCCGACACCTTTCATTCCTGAAAATGACGAAAAGGGAACCCTTGCATGTTCATTATGAAACATTCTGTAATTTACAGACCCCTTCAGTGTCTCGCACATCTGTTGCTAAGTTTCTATTATTCCAAGATTAGTGGAAACGTCATATCATAATACTGTGGTATACTTTATTTTCGCTGGAATTAATTTTTGCTGAAAAGGCTTTTTTGGTGTTTTGGTTGGAATTTATTTTCACTGATTTTTGATGAGTTTAATGTGAAATATAGGAAAAAAAGTACCGTATATTCGATGGGTTTTATTTTCATGGAATCATCCCTTCAGCGAAAATGAAGTATTCTACAGTATTATTACTTCACACTCACTGTAGCCATTGTTGGTGACTACGTTGACAGGGTTCTCCCCAGAAAAAATGCATAGCGCCGGGGCTAATTTGCATAATAATTTGCATATCATTTACATATCTTTCCTTCATTGATTAACGGAACTTATTTACAATTATGAATATTAGTGAGCTCAGTCACAG